TTATCGTCTGAAGAACTTGAATCTGAGTGATGAATCTTCTGAATCTGATCTAGTTCTTCTTGACCTCCTTTAATTTTTATGCTTTGACTTACTCTTTTTTTATTTTTTATTCTCAATCTCTACGTCGTTTGAAAAAGATCGTCTCAAATGTTATGTTTCCACATTCAGCATAGCTTGAGTATGGGTTTCTGATGGTTGCGGGATAATTGGAGGTCGGTTCTGAATGAGAGATTGTCCAGTGACATTCACCTCCGCAGGATGCCTATGATATATATGAGGATAAGTTGAACTCCAACTGGTTCATAAGATCTTCCTGATTCTCTATCACTACACAAAATGTCATCTTTACTGGGCGGTAAAGAAAACTACTGACATAGAAAAGTCCTGAGGCAACAGGAAGAGAGCTAAAAATCTGAAAAAACATGCACCTTGTTCCTAGATGTTGGGGCGTCATGACAAGTATTTTTTTGTATTTTACACACAGATATTGGTTAATGTACTAACAATAAAGGCTGAGAATCATCAAAAACCCACCTGTAACAATACCTGAAATTTGGCCCTTGACTTTGAAGACAGGATTTTGGAATCTTCAAACATCAATAACTTTTGCAGTCCTGAATCAAATCACTCGATGTGAAGTTCATGAAAAAAGTGAGCCTTTCCTCTACATTTTTCATTGAGACATCCCATCTGTCGCTGGTCTTAAAAAGATCCTACAGAGCTATTCATGCAGAACTGTATGAACATATGTAGAGTGTTTCAATGACTAGATAGCACCTTGCTTCCATTATGAAGTGTGAAGGAGAATAGTTCAGCTTTTGAATGAACCACAAATCGAGTTATTTGGAGCAGAATTGCAAAAGTTATTGAAGTTTTTAGACCACAAAATATTGTCTTCATACTCATGACCCAAATTTCAGGTATTGTTACATGTGAGTTTTTGTTGATTTTCAGCATTTATTGTTAGTACATAAACCAATTTCTGCGTGTAAAATACAAAAAAATACTCATCATGACGCCCCAACATCTAGGAACAAGGTGCATATTTTTTCAGATTTTTAGCTCTCTTCCTGTTGCCTCAGGACTTTTCTATGTCAGTAGTTTTCTTTACCGCCCGGTAAAGATGACATTTGGTGTAGTGTATCTGTTTCTGCAGCATCATTTGCAAAAGCAGGGAAAATTGGATGAAAATCTGGATGAGTATACGTAACCCATGTTGCAAATTGATCACGTAAGGTTCGCATTGCAATGAATATGTTGAGCTACCTCCGTTTTTGTCACACGTCCTCAAGAGGGTTGCTAAATTTTCACCAACATGTTGTTCCATACGGATGTGATACTTTTCCATATTGGTGTAATGATGATCAATATTGATAGGATGATTCTCCATTTGATGTATAAAACACTGAAAATTTCTTCTCAGGGATGACTGAGGAATTTGAAAACACTTTGAAACTTAAAATATCAAAAAGTTTTGGTGAACAGACTGTTTCGATAATGATCTCAAGTTCTTGATTTAATCCGTATAGATTGTGGAGTATGAGTTATCGGTTGGACGAACGACCCAAGTCTTCCTCAAGTTCTGATTGGCTGGTGGTAAACAGTCGATGAAGGTCTATATATCATGTCCAAGGCGATAGGGTGAGAGAGAAACAGAAGAAGGAAAGTTATCAATCCACATCAGTGAAAACCTTGAATAAGGTCCGCCACCTCGGGTCTCCAATTCTCTTTGGTCATTTCATCCATTTGGGGCTATATGCGCTAGGTCTTCGCGCGGCCGCGTCCGCGCTCTAGAACGCGCTGGGCTTAAAAACAAAAACAAAAATTATGAAAACACGACGTCATTAAATGGACATTTCTTCTCTCTCAGCCGGTAGGTGTAGGGCATCGATATGGATAATGAAACATGTCGGGGGGAATCCACCACCCAAATATGGACAGTGCCTTTTCTTTTGGTTGTAAATTTGGATCCCGTCCTCGGGGTTTTGCGGGAGAATCCAAATTTACAGCCAAAATAATTCCGGGCACATGCCCGAATTCCACTTTGTATTCTTCAATCCCGGGCTTTCCACTTCCGCGCGATTTTTTCCGTGCTTCGCGCAGAGTCTCCACAGCATT